TCACTCTCACACACACACACACACACACACACACACACACAGAGATGAGTTCATCAACAGAAGCTGCTCGAGATCCTTCACCATCAGAACCAACAGCAGATGAGTTCACAAAGCTATTCCGTACAGACTCACACACTGCAGTGAAGCTGGATCTGCTCTACAGCGCCACCTACTGAGCATCACACATCAAATACTGCTAGTTTTGCTTTGAATATTTTGTCTCTTTTGATTTCTTGGGTGATACAGAATAAAACGGTGTTCCTCAAACAAAACTGACAACATTCTAGTTATAAGAGTATTATCATTAACTAAAACTAAAACCATAAGAAACATTTCCTTACTTGAAATATAATAAACATGAACTGAAATAAAAAAAAAATACTTATTTTTAACTAGTTGCCAAAACTAAAATAGCTAAAAAAAACTCAAAAATACAAAAAATAATAAAAAATAAATACATTTTCGAAATTAATACAAATATTGTTGTGTTCTAATTTATTCTTTCTACTTCAAAATTTCATGTTAAATTCAACATAACTTGCCATTTTTGTAATTGTTTGTATAATTTACTAGACATTTCTGAGTGAAAGTTTCTACACCTTTTTAAGCGTAATAAATAAAAAATTTGCAAAATCTATATAGACATATATAAAAAAAAAAACTGATACAAATGACAAAACACAACAAAATTACTAAAACTAAATTTTAAGTGAAAACAGAAAATATAAAAATCTAATTCAAAATATTATCAAAATCTAAATATGAAACATGCATTTTTGCAACAAATATGCAACAAATATGATATTTACATGTCAATTTGTCTTAGCAACAATTGTATCTTTTTAAGTATGCATCACAAATATTATGTAAATAAGTATGATTTAAAAAAAATGTTTTGGTTAAACTACAATGACTAAAATCTTAAATATCAATTTAAGTTATTTTAATTGTTACCAATAGTAATTAGGATTTTCACGACACTAGAATGTTAATTATTTAAACCAAGACATTACAGATTTCATAATCCTCAATAATCACCACCAACTGAATGATTAATATCAGTTAACTATTGCAACTTTACACATATGCATTACCTCACATAAAGTATATTATATAAATAATATATTTATAAAGTATAAATATATTCTAATACTAATTGTTTTTATCATCTCCAAAAGCAAACGATCTTATAGTCCAGCTCTAACCTGATAAACGGGATGAATGCATTTATATTAATTTCTCTGAAACAATGTGAAATGTGAAACATGCTATTAAGTAAATAAATAAATAAAATGAAAGATTGTAAATAAAGTTTAGAGTCATGCTGTGGGGACATCATGAAACATTGATGAAAAAATGTCAATTATAGCAAAATCATAGTCCTACTTTGCTTTGATTCTTTCAATCAAACACGCATGAACATGCATTGGAAAAAAACAAGCTAAAATAAGACCTGATATTATTGGATTTTAATATTAGCCAAATCAGACTGATGCCAATAACTAAAAGCACTAACAGCAGGGAGCTTCTCTCGCTCCAATCGAGAGGCTGTTTATACGTGAAACCACAGCAAACGCTTGATGACGGTCGCTTCCCGACACACACCTGGTGCTTCATATTCCCAGAATATCTTCAACTGCACATTCCCAGGAAAACAAAGGTGCTACTAAGACTTATTGGAGAAGTTTCAGCAAAAAAAGAGAGAAAAAACAAGAGGAAACTTTATGCTGAAGTCTGAAGATTCTGCCAAAAGGGGTGAAAAACTGCACACACATCCCGTATCACAAACTTCAGCTGTCAAGAGCTGCTGACAGTCATTTCTGGAAACCCACCATTTCTCATCTGATGTGTGTGTGTGTGTGTGTGAGAGCTGCTGAATTCTCCTATAACAGCATAATATAAAACGCACTGATAGACACAAAGCCTCCGTGTGCTCATTAATATTACATGCTTGCAACACACACACTGCAGTGTCGCTCACCTGCTTTAACTATAACCAGTCAATAAACATCAAATTAGAGCAATAAGACCAGAAGAAACTGCTGCTCAACCTGCTGAGACTGTCAGTGTGTTTTTATGTGGTTGCTAAGGTGTTCTGGATGGTTGCTAGGGTTGTGTTATTGTGTCTGTTCCCTTAGTAATGTATCAGATTGGATTTGGAGCACAAACGCTGCAATAATACTCAGGACTAGAGGTTTATCACATTACTATCAGCACTAGTACTAGTGAGAACGGACTTAACTAACCGCACTAATGGGAGAGTTAGTGATGATTAACTGGTTTTCCTAGACTGATCTAATAACTGTGAGCTCAAGCTGCTGCTGAGAGTCCAGAGCTGCACTTACTGCCAGAGTGTGTGTGTGAGTGTGTGTGTGTGTGTGTGAGTGTGTGTGT